TAAAGTCACAGGAGAACACAGCACCCAAATATAATGTGGGGCCACAATGTCACTGCTGGCAGCTGGCTGCTGCTGTGCTTCTTAAAAAGCTGAGGGAGGCTGTGGATATGGAAGTCTCCAGGCAGTCCAGAAGTGACCAGACAAGTTAATGGAAGAAGAAATTAATCTTAAAGGGGTACAGCTTCTGCTGGCTCATAATGAATCTGAAGCAGCTGAGGCAGGCCAGTATGATGCATGCTGACCACGTGCTCCTGGCTGGCCCCCACGCAGCACCCACCAAGGACAGGACTGAAGGTTAGACAAGACCCAGCAAAGGTCTTTCCTTGCAGTGTGTTCCTCAGGCTGTTGTTGAAGATGTGAGCAGCTCTTGACTTTGCTCTGAGTGTAAATCTGGCTGTGGTTTGCTCTGAATGTAAGCAGCATCCTGCTTTTCCCATCTTCCTCTGCCATCTTATCCAAGTTCCCCCATCCTTCTCACCATGTCTTTTCCTACACTCTTCATGGGATGAGGAGCAGTTTTGGAACCATCACACACACAAGCATTATAGCTATACCAAGTCTGATACAGGGTTAACACATCCCTACATCCTCTCTAGTGAAACCTTGGCTAGGCTGCCTTGCAGCCAGCCCTCTGCACTTGAGAGCATGCAGCAACTCTTCTGCCTCATTCTGTGTGGAAGGGTTTGCCTGCAGGAGTGTTAGGTGAAATTGCTGATGTCCCAAATTGAAGGGTCTTGCCACCCCTTCTGCTTATTCACTCAGAAGTATGTGGAAGTTCTTTCAGAAGCAAAAGGGAGGACTCCTGGAGCCTCTCCGTGCCAGGCTGTTATTCTGGGCTGTTGCACACAGGCAGGTGGGCAGGAGCTGTGAGGTCACCGTGGCATGGCTCTGTTTTTCCCATCACTAAATTTAAGGATGCAGCTAGGGTTACACTGTCTTGGGGAGAGGGGTGGGATGGGGGCTGCACATGGTCCCCCTCAGTCATATGAGAGTGACAGCTCTCTAAATCTTGGCCAAGGCTACTTTGTGGTGTGGCACCTATGCAGATCACCCAGGCTGAACGTGTGGCACCGATAAAGCCTTGGAAACACAGGATGCAGTGTCCCATGAGGCTGTTGCAGCACAATTAGTCACCATGGCCGGGCTCCACCTGCCTCTGCACCAGGTATCCAAATGTCTCACATTTGGAGCAAGGAAGAGCAGTGCGGTTGTTCTGCCCTTGACAGTTTTCAGTCTGCTCCTTCTTGATTTGCTTAATGGGATCTGACTCGGTCAGCATTTAGGGTCTGGGGTCCCTTAGGGGCTTAGCTGTAAAATGCTGCCAGATATTCATATTAGCTCGTCAGCTTCGGAAACCAAATTTCCTCCCCTTCAAAGCTGTTGCATGGTCACGGACTTGGCAGGGCTGTCCAACTGCCGGGGTAGGATGGGAGGATGAATAGCCCGGGATATTAGAGCAAATTCCCAGAGCACAGTCTCAAGGTTCCCGAAGCGGGAGACCGAAGGGGTAGCCCCGAAGATGCCGGTGCCAGCGGAGAGGGAGCAGGGGTGGGCAGAAGGGGAGTTCCAGGGGGGCTTGCTGGGGGTCTCCAGCGGGCGGGGGCGGCTCCGCACGGCGGCCGCCAGAGGGAGCCAGAGACCGCGGGCTCGGCCGGTGCTGCCGCGGGACCGGGATGGACTGGGAATGTTCAGGGATGGACTGGGAATGTTCAGGGATGGACTGGGAATGTTCAGGGATGGACTGGGAATGTTCACGGATGGAGAGGGGATGTTCACGGATGGAGAGGGGATATGCGGCATGGAGAGGGGATGTGCTCGATGGAGAGGGAGGTTACAGGGCGGGGAGTTTGCGAGCTGTGCGCTGGTGGCTGCGGGGATGGGGGATTATGGGGGGTCTGTTCGCTCGGAAGCTCAGGGGCTGCTGTGTGTGTGCACTCCTGGGGAGCCGTGCCCACGCGTGCCTGTCCCCCCGTGCACGTCCCGCAGTGTGTGCGGGTTCTGCTGCACAGCGTGGCCGCTGTGGGGGCTGGCACTGTCCCCCCAGCGTGGGTGCTCACCCGTGGCCCTGTGGCTGCCTCGGTGCCCACGGCAGTGGCATGTACAGCCCACGGCAGCAGCTGCTCCTGTACACACGTGGAGAAGTCATCATGCAAGCATGGGCTGGCACTGCCTGAGGTGTGGCTGGGAAGGAAGGGTGACAGTGATAGAATGAATTGAAAATGGATGCTATTTCCTGCAGAAAATCTCGCTCAAAGACAAGCATTTCATTTTCTTCCAGCATTTTTGCTCTCTTTCATATTACACTTGAGCAGCTGTTTTCTCCCAAAACATTATTTTGCAACAGAATTATAACCTTCCCACATTTTTACAGTACTTGTGGCAGCAACTGTAGCACCCGTGGCACATACTCTAGCTACCTGTGCTGTAGAACCCAGAGATTCCATATGGCCCCCAGGGTTATGTGCAGAGGACACACTGGATCCCAGTCCTCCCAGTCAGCCTGACACACTGCCCAGCACCTGCATGGCCTGCTGCTGAGAGCAGCTGCTGGTCTTAGCCTGTGGTGTGGCACAGAGGATGATCAGGACTGCGGATGGAGAGGTTTCTGCAGCCAGCTCCATCATCTGACTTGGTCACACAGGGAGCCATGAGAACTTGTATCATTTTTCATCTCTGGAGATGGGAGTTCCAGCTTTTCAGATGCCCTCAAACTTAGGCACACAAGCTCAAGCAGAACAGAAGCTGGTGGGACCCTCTCCAAAGTCCTCCATCACACCATAGTTCTTTGTGTGTCCTCTCTTATACCTAGATATTGCAGAGGCTTATCTTGTGACCACACCACACCACTACCACACCATGCCATGCCTCCGCCCCCAGTCCCCACCAAGCTCATAAACTCTGATCCATTCATTTAGATGCATTAAGGCAGCAGTACCCAGCCAAGGCCAAATGTCCCCTTGCCTCTGCTGTGCTGGCTGTGCATTACATGCCACCATTGGTGCAAATGCCCTTGCTCTGGTTGCATGGGCACACTAGAAAAGTGGCAAAGAGGAGGCATGGTTGTCATGAGTGTGTTATCTACATGTCCATGCATGGGTTAAGACAAATAATATTTAAGCCAGATAGTAAAAATGCAGTGGCTAAAATTTTTTTTGTGCGCAGCACACCCTGCCTGGTGTTCTCTTGTTTATTTGCTGGGCCAGAAGAGTCATATTTTGTGAGAAAAAAGGATGCAAATGGTCCCAAACAGCCTCCCCACCATTATTTGACTGTGAGAGATGCTTTTTCTGAAACATAGGTGAGGTAGGGGTAGGTAGCAGCTGAACTAAAACTTGTTCCTGAGTTTAGGGGAGGAAATAAAATGGGTGAAAACAACAGTGTTGTAGGATTCATGTGACAAGCCACAAAAGATGCACATGGACTAGCTGAAAAAAAGAAGCCATACACGGAACATAAATTTCCACACAAATCAGCACATATTTAATAATGAAAGAATAGAACTGAAGCACAAACAGCTATTCCAGTCAGCTACATTAGAAAGAAACCAGACAAATGAAAGTGTAACGGGATTTGAGGGACTCCAGAGCAAATCCCTCTTGGATTTGCTGCCTTTTAGTCACCAACTTGAGTTTAATAGTGACTGTGCTGCTGAGTAAGTCTGTGGCACCAGTGCTCCACTCAGGAGAGCTCTTCACCTCTGCAGGTTGTGAGGGAGCCAGTTGTACTTCAGTCTCACGGAGCTCTCCTGAACAGGGACTTTTTTAATTTTTTTTTTGGCTCCCCTCTGCCATCAGAAACAGCTTTTCTTGGTAGTGAGCATGACTTCTTTCCTCACAGCAGGATAACATAAAACCTCAGCTCCATCTCCACACTCCAGCGTCTTGCAGGCACATATATACGTATAAATGTACACATACATGTGCATGCATGCAGAGATACATGAGCACTTTATGTGCACATAGCCATGGTGAGCCTGCATTTACAGACCCACAGCCATCTGCACCTCCCTGACCAATTATAAAGAAAAGGCTGCCGAGGCTTGGGATTGCAGGGTGAATTTAAAACAGCATCACTGCCGGTTAAAGCCATCCAGAAAAGGGAACCCATAAATGAGAGGATGAATGAGAAGATGTCAGGAGTGTTAGCTCTTAATATTCCCGGAGCGAGGCTGCATTATTTGTTGCTGCAGCAGCGCGCTCCTCCCTGCCCCCTCTGACGGAGCCCGTGGATGCGCATGCACACGCATGCAACTTCATTTCCCACCCTCTTGAAAAATCAACCTCCCCGGCATTCCCTGCACCCTCACCCCTTAGGTGTCGTGCCACAGGGCTGTAAGTGCCACGGTGAAGCCTTCCTCCACCCCGATCCAGAAAATAATTACAGTGCAGCCCTGGGAGGGAGGGAGGTAGGGAGGGAGGGGAGGTGTCTGCTGGTTTGGCCCATGTTTTATTGATCGCACCACTGTGATGAATCAGCTCCTGTGGAGCTGGTGTCTGCCTGCAGACAGGTACTGGCCACTGCGCAGAATTACAACGAGTCCTGGATCTCAGGGCCACCACTGGGAAGGCGGTGGAGTGAGCAGGCGTGGGGGTGGTGTCCAGGGACAGCATCTGCAAAGGTGTGACCCACATCCCTGCACTGGAAGGCCAGCAGCTCCCAGCTGGAGGCACACCAAGGGTTGGGATGTGGTCAGCAGCCAGTGTTGAGCCTTTCTGCTTGCTCCAGGCCCTGTTCCTCCAGCATGGGTGTTTTTTAGGGAGAGCCACATGCCATTGGAGTGTTGGGCTGAGGGAAGGAGGATGCTGATGAGCTGGCAGGCAGCAGCCTGTAGCTGTGCTGGAGGGAGGCTCACCAAGGTGGGAAGGCGGCTGTGCCCTGCAGCCCAAACCCAGCACTGCAGGAGCAGCCTGGGACTGAAGTGCTGTGCTCCTGTGTCGCGCCTATCTCACCCAGCCTCGTGTAATCTTGTCTTCTTTTCTCTCCCTTCTCGCACCCTGCAGGACCCGGCACAGGGAGAGTAGACAACGGCTCCATGTGTTTGGCCGTCCCACTGTGGCTTCTGGCAGCGTCCCTGCTCTGCCTACTCAGCAAATGTTAATACAAATCAGAATTAAAATAATAATATTAATAATAATTAAAAAAACAACACGACAACAACAACAACACACAAAACAAAACGCGTTATACAGGAGACAGAGCGAAGAGAGGGGAGAGAGAAAAAAGAGGGGGGGAGAGAGAGAGACGACTGTTTCTTTCACAACTTTTGTGTGTTCAGGAGCGAAGAGGGGGGAGAGGAAAAATTACAGCAAAGAAGACTCAGCAACATTTAATCCAAAACCTGAAAAGCCGGCTGTCAAGTCATCGACTGCCTAGGTGGCAACACGAAGCGAGGGAGAGAATGGGGCACCAGCAAGGATCGTGTCGCCGGAGGATGCTGCAATGTAAACAATCCAACAAAACCTGCAAAGCCAATCAAACAGAAGATCCCTTTTCTTTTCTCTCCTCCTTCCTCTTTTCCATACTCCCTCACTTTCCTTCCTTCCTCCTCTTTCTTTCTTTTGCAGAAAGAGGTCTTTGCTTCGGTGTCTATAGCCATTTAACTTTTTGGATGCCCTGGGTCATTTTTGTGAGCTAATGCTCAGCCAGTTCATACTTTTAAAAACAAATTAAAAAAAAAAAAAAAAGAGGAAAAAAAAAAACAACAAAAAAAAAAAAGCCACAAACCAGAGCAAGTCACCTGAAGCTCTCTGCACACTGGTGTCCTGTGAAGAACCCCTTCTTCTCTTCACTTCACCCTGCGCTCATGTGCACCCAGCCCTTGCTAAACACCTTCTTTCCTGTCCCCTTCCTTCATGCAACATCACCCCCACAGGCCTGAACGAAAGCTGTGTCAACTCTACTGAAAGCCTACTCTTCTTTTTTTTCTTTTCAAATCCTCTTCCTTCCCCCTCTCTCAATTCAACCAGGTGTCTTTTTCCTGTGTTTGCCTGTGTGTGTGCGTGCATGCATGTGTGGCTCTTGCTCTGTCTTCACTCTCTCTCTCTCTCTCTCTTTCTCTTGCTCTCTCTAAGCATGCAAAACGAACAGTCCATGTGTACATATGCTCATCCTGTTGTAGATAATGTCCTGCCTTGTAAGTGTGAGACAAGATGCAGAGAGATCACTTAGAGAGAGAAGAAGGGTGAGGAGAGAGTGGGGCAGCTGCAACACAGGTTCACATTGTGTCCCCCCTCTCCTGTGTCCTCACTGTTTTTTTATTTTCTGGCTACCTTGCTTGCAAGAGTCAGTCTGCACCCTTGTCTAGGCTTTTTTTCCTCTCCCACCTCCAACCTGTTTGGCTCTCAGCTTCCAGCATAGTAGTACCAGCATAGCAGCCCATGCTATGCATGAGTGCTTGCACACACGCATAGGGGTGTGCACTCATGTGCAATTGTCCAAGCAAGCAGAAGAAACCAGGACTGGCCTACAACACTATGGACTGAAGAGTGCAGCCACCATTCCTCCTGGGGATGGGAGGCTGGGCCGGTGCGATACGAGTGATGAGATCTTGGACGCCACCAAGCAGCCATTCCTTTTAGGTATAGTGGGCATAAGAACGATACCTCAACATGAAAACCACAATCTGGTCATTCCTAACCATTTTGGTAGACATGCAAAAATAGAGCCAATACCCTTTTTTTGTTGCTTTTGTTGTTTTTGTTCTTCCTGTCCTCCCCGGTATAAAAGGAAATGTAGGCTGTGTAAGGTTGAGAGTGTGTGTGTATGTTTGTGTGTGTGTGCTGTACACTGCTGCTATTGCAAAACTCACAGCAAATTCCACATTTGAAAGAAATTGGTCCAGAAAATGGCCAGGACCTCTGAATGAAAGAAATAAAACAAATGTCAGGTCCAAAATCCTGGGCTCACAAAGAAGGAGCTTAAAATGTTGAAGCAAAGAAGCAGGCAGCACAATTTCCCCTGCTCTTCTCTTACCTGAAGGGTAAGAGTTGTCTTGCTGGAGAGTGCCCCACACTTCCCATAGCAGAATCACATACAAAGGTTCCAACAGGGCAGACTTTGGTGGTTCCCAAGTGAGGAGGTGAGAAACAGCTGTGAGAAGCAGGACTGAGGAAATGCTGGGTGGTGGCTGGAATTCGCCACACCAACACAAGGTCTGCTGCAGGAGCCAGAATGAGCAGGGGCTGCAGTGCCTGTGAGTGGGTCGGGGCAGAGGGGAGAGGACTCTTGTGTCCCCCGGCAGGCCTTTTTTGGAGAGAGGGGTGTGCAGGGGAGAGCTTGATTTAGCCCACTGAAGTCGAGTGACCACCCCACGACAGCACAGTGTTTTACAGGCGCTCAGCTTTCAAGCAGCAGCCCGTTTGCTGCTCTCTGCCCCGGGCGCTGGGGCAGGGGCAGCACGCTTGGCAGCCGTGCTCACATGCGGGCAAGGGGGAAACAGCTTGGCCTCGGAGTGTGAGCAGGGAATACCCGCCAGGTGTTCCCCTGCCAGGAAGGAAAGTGGGAATTGCTGCCTGCGAGCCCGTCCCCACCTTTGCGAGGGTGGGGCACAGCGCGGTGAGGCTGCTGCGGCGCTTTCGCCCTGCGCTGCGGCTCTGCCGGCGCTGCCCCCTCGCTGCTGAGCTCAGCTGTTCCAAGAAGCAGCAGGCACGCAATTAAGCAGGCAGTCAAAACCTCCTCCCAGGCAGCCAGGAGTGCGAGGAAATTTATTAAAGAGAGACACGAGAGGCTGAAGTTTGGGCGTTTACGAGAGTTGGCGTAGATCTGCTGTGGGATTGGATGGTGATAATTTATGTTCCTCCAGACCCCAAAGCCATACCTGCAAGAGGGCGCAAGTCGAAAGTGGGCAACTGGTGCTTGAAATCCATACAAAACATCCAGGGATGGCTCCCTCCCTCCAAAATAGGGCAGTCATTGATGGGATTTGGGCATGTCCTTTGGTACGTGTCAGCCCACGAAAAAATGCCCTGCATCCTTCAGAGCATTCAGACATCCCAGTCCTCATGCCTAACATTCAGGAGGGCCATCTAATTCAGAGTCTTAGTAACAAGTCCAGATTTTCTGCTGCAGCAGGCCTCCTCTTTCCCCTGGTACAGCAGTAAGCTGATCCTGGTCCCAGAAGCCAGGTCTGGGAGCTGCACCCTTTCCTGCACACTGGCACGAGGGAAACACCACACTGCTCTTTCTCGGGGCTGTACCCACGCCTGGATTTATTGGCACAGGCTTGTTGAAAAAGGGGGGCAGCCTGCAGTGTCTTGCTGTGACAGGCTGCTCCTAAGGGCTGAGTCCAGCCCACTTCAGGTTCTTTGATGTCAACCCAGTTGCTATGGTAGCACCTGTCCCATGTGTTCTCCGCATGTGTTTTTGTCACCGTGGGGTCACTCCTGGGCACTGGGGTCACACACATCAGACCCCTAAGGTGTGGTGGTGCTCATCATGTCCCAGCACCTCATTATCTCACATCTGTTTTGGTTCAAAAGAGTTCTGAGGAGTTTTTTTTTTTTTAAATGTCAAGGCACAGAGGCGTATGGTTAAAAGGGAAATATCTCACTAAAAGCAGTGCATCCATTTTTTAAGCCATCTGAGGAAACAGCCCCAGCCCTGGTGCTGGGATCTGGTCTTTCCTCCAGGCTCTGGGCAGATCTTTTCCTCTGTTGTACGGCTGCAAAGCAGGGTGAAAGCCAGTTAATTGCAGACCTCTCTGAGAAAAGCCACCACCACCAAGTATGCCTGTTGTCTGCAGAAGTGCAGAGAACCCCACTCCTGGCAATGTCTGTTCCTAACAGGGCTGGGGGAATGGTGGGTAGGTTGGAGCTTGATTTTCTCCAATAATCTAATCCTGTGAGTTGGTGTGTGCCTCACAGGGTGCTGTAAAAACCCCCCTCTTTCTCCTGAACTCAAGCTGAACTCAAGCCCTCCTGAACTTTGAGGAACTGCTTGAAGCACCTGTCAAGAGGTGAGCCCAGATGAATATAGGAAACCCAGGCAAGGTCTAATGCCTTTTCCCATTCTTTCTGCCCTCCATCCTCTGACGGAGATGTTGCAATGGCTTTTCTCATGTCTCAGGCCCTTCTCTCTGAAACTGCTTCTCCTCATCATCTCTTTTCTCCATTTATGTTGCTATCTTTCCCATCACCTCCCAAAAAGCTGTGTTCTTGCTTCCTGCTGCCTCTCAGCTGGTTTGGGACCAGGGAAGATGGGAGTTTGGAATGGGACACCAGTTCCTCGAGCTTGTCAGTGTAATTGTGTTTGATTGATGGAGATTTAACATTTAGTGTTATAAAAAGATACGAACAAAATGGAAAAAAAAATTGTATTTCTTCTACTGGTTTGTAAATATTACAAGAGTTACATGAGATGTCTGGTAATGTCCAAGCAGAGGAACAAAAAACTTAGATTTCATATATGGCCCCATAATTGCTAGCAGATTTCTAACCCTTTTCAGATGACCGAGAGGAGGGGTGAAGGCAAGTCTTTCTGAAAGGAACTGGACAGGGGGAACACAGCCACCCTGAGCCACATGAACTCCACACATGATTGTAGCATGTTGCTTGGAGCGTGTGCCTGGTCAGATGGAAAACGAAGCAAACGCCTGTCTCTGAACGGCTGGGAAGGGCGACGTGGGATGCTCCAGCCGACACCTGTATCTTGGCAGATGTGTTCATTTCTGTTTCTTTGCAGCCCCACACTCGTGGGCTCCTTGCTCAGTGACGCACCCTCTCCTCCTCCCCTGTACCCGCTTTCTTCACCAGTGAAGTTGTGTCGCCCCATGCTAGCCCCGAGTGCATGTGAACGTGCCATTCATGGAGATTTCATTGGTGACATGCATTGTGTCAAGAGTTAGTCTTTGTCTGCACATCTTTCTCACACCACTGACTGTTCACCACTTGGGCAGATCGCTCGTGCACTGCTGCTTGCCCCACTGTTGGTCAAAGAACATCCAAGCCTCGCCAGCTCTTCTTAGCTCCAGGTGCATCCAGACCATGCCCCCGGGCCACCAGGCAACCCCTCTCTGAAAGTCCAAGCATGCAGCATGGACAAAGCCACCATCAAAATCCATGCGGTCTCCAGGCTGAGTGGAAGCTACACACCTGGAAGGAATTTGGGGAAGCACCAGAAAGCCCTGATGAAACAAGAAGATCTGGGAAGTCGGAGGAGTTATGCTAGAATCCTTCCCAGCCCCACCAGCAGATGGTATTTCAGCTCAATTTTTATGCAGCGTTTCATCACTTCACCATTCCCTGGTGAGGGAATCTATGGGCACAGGGAAACAGCTCACAGCTCTTCTCCTTCCAACCCCTCACACCTCTGCTTCCTCTCCTCCAAGCACACTGACCTGCAGCCCAAATCATCATGGTGCTTGATGTGATGTAGCAACTGACATGGGGGATGGCTGACCAAGGCAGTATGGCAGAGGAGGTGCCAGGGGGGCGAGCAATTCTCTCTCTCTCTCTCTCTCTCTCTCTATCTATCTCTCTCCTGATGGTGCACAATCTTACTGCTTCTCTGACTCAAGGACACAAAACTTCTTGAGTTAGGGATGCCAGGACCAAACTGTCCTATGGGAGGAGCAAAACTTGAGGCAGGGAAGTGATGGAGAAGCTGGATGGTAATTTCCACAATGTGATGCCGGTGGAAAATAGTATGGATGAGTGCTGTCCATCATCCATGCACAGAACTCTCAGGTTCACCAGCGAGGAGACCATGGCCTCTCAATGCTAATCTTAGAGCGGCTTCATTTCCAGTGGGATGCCCAGAAGATGATTTCTTTTTAATTGCATGACTCTGCTGACTAAGAGCTGTGTCACACCACTAAAACCTCTTTCACTTTTCCTTCTTGTAACTTGCTAGAACAGTGATCGGACAGCTCCCACAGCCCCCAAATTTTGCCTAATGGTTGGCTCCCATTAGGGCAGCATATGGTGCTTGCTTGTTGGTTCGCTCGCTGTGACAGGGGAGCAGAGCTCATCTTGGTGAGAGCACGTCGGTGTGGTCCTCTCTACCTCTGTGGGTCACGGTGATGGAGTGAGGTGAGGAGACCTGCCCAGGCAGGCCTTGGGTGAGAGGAGCAGCGCTCCTAACTAGCCCAGGCTGGTGGGAAGCAAAGGGTCCTTCACTTGCTGCAGGCTTGTGTTAGCTGGTGCCACAGCAGCTCAGACTGCACTGCAAGACTTGTAGAAGAGCCCAGGCAGTGGAGAAGGAGTGGGCAGTGACAGGGGGACATGACTGCAGCACAGGTGGTGGGGGCTGCATGAGCAGCAGGGCTCCTTGGACAATGCAGCTGGTGAAGGGGCAGAGATTGCATCCCAGGAGGGCCCTTCTTTCCCTGGCTGTCCTCACGGTGCATCAGGAGCTCCCTCCCGGCCTCCCAGGGCATGCTCACCATGCAGCAAAATGGGCCTCAGTGAGTAAAGCAGTGTGACACCACGGTGGCTCCAGCCGCGTCCTGAGGAAAGGGGTGCGAATGTTTCTGTACACAACAGAGGGGTCACGAGCAAGGCCTACCGAGGAGCCAGCCAGTGAGGAGAGCATGTCCCAGGCAGGGCTGTCCTCCTCCAGAATTGTGACATTTGGTCCCCATTCAGCCACGCACAGGTGCATACGCACACGCCCGCCAGCTCCACCGCGCACCTGCTACAGGAGCGCTCCCGGGGCGCTCTCCTTCCCCACGCTCTCCATCACGCACAGCCAGGCAGGCGCTCGGCCACCTGCTGCTGGCGGTGGCTCTGTCTGCCACACACAGCTACGTTGTGAGCTCCTGAGGAACCGGGAGAAGGCATGTGTGTGCCTGTGCCTGCGGGAGCACACGTGTGTGCCAGGAAAGGGAGGAGGGGGCACGGAGCGGGAACCTGCCTCCGCGGTGCCACCGTCGCCTCCCAAAATCATTCAACCTTCCCAGCTGGAGCCAAGATTCATCCTCTAGACCTTGAGAATGAAGGCCAGTCCCTTCTTCTTGCTACACGGTGGGGTGGTTAGAACTCTCCTCATTAACAGTGTTATATACATATAAATATATATATATATCTATATCTTTATATATATTTTTCCCCAGCACTGTAGACATGAGCTGAACTTCTCTTTAATGAAACGAGAAAATGGCCATTTTATTTTTTGCCATTGTTTTGGTTTTGAAACTAGCTCTGTGAAAGAAAGTTTTAAAAGCGCAAGTGTGTGTGTAAAAGAACCAATCAAAAAAATTAAACAACCCAAGAAACAATGAACAAAACCCAGTGATGGAATAAAAAAAAAAAAAAGAAGCTTTTTATTTTTTCTTTTCTCAATGTATTTAACTTCTGTTATCTCGTTTCTGTTTCTTTACATGTATGAATGCTCTGCTCTTCTGTGATCTTAAAAAAAATACAAAAAAATACAAAAATTAAATAAACGTGAAAAGGAGGTAATGTTTCTTCATTTCCCCTCCCTTCCTTGCATAATCTGGCTCGTCTCCTCTCTGATCACGTCCAGTGATGACTTTCCAGCCCACAGGGGGAATGTGAGCCAAGCTACTCCTTGCCTCACTTTCCTTGGAGGGGGGCAAGGTGGTCCAGGGCTGCAAGTGGGGCAAGGTCAGTGGCCTGGGGCTGAGGGTGCTGTGTTACCCCAAGCAGTCTGACCCCTTCAGTGCAGTTCCTGGGGATGAAGAGAGCAAGCTGGCTGGAAATAGATGTGAGATGGTGCTGCCAGGAGGAGATGCCATAGGCAAAACTGCAGTGCACACCCCTGAAGTCAGCACTTGCCTTCAGCTTCTTGTTTGGTTTGGTTTTTTTTAATCAGTTAAATTGCATGATTGTGTGTGTGTGCACAGATAGAGGGTGGGATCAAGGCTGCAGTCCCAGGAGAGGAAGAACAAGGAAGCTGATAGAAGGAATGTGCTGAGGCGAGCACAGGACAGAAACACCAAAAGACAGAGCATGATGGTGGAGATGGCAGAGAGAGAGAAGGGGAATGGTGGGGAAGGAGGCAAGAAATGCTGGCCAGAAAACAGCAGGATGGGCCACTGGAGAGGCTGGATTTTCTGACAAGGAGGGAGTGGGGCAGCAGGGGAATGGGGAGGGCATGGGGATTGAAATGAAGGCAGCCAGGACAAGGGGAAGAGGGGCAGGAGTCTTGTACCACAGGCACAAGCAGGCATAAAATAAATAGATTAGAAGGGAGAAGGAGGAAGAGGGCAGCAGAGTAGCCTGGGCAATTTTACAAGCAAACACAGCCAAAGGGATGAAGAAACCAAGAAGCAGGAAAAACCTGGTCAAAGGAGAAAGCAACACCTGGACAATTTAAATGTTGGAGAACCCAGAACATCTACAGCCATATTACTATAATGGGGGTGAGTCATGTAAATGCCACCTGACTGCCACAGCCTGGCATCTCTGTCCTTTTCTCAGTGGGAGAATCTCTATTTCCTGGTGGCCCCCAAAGACACAACTAATTGTGCTACCGCACTGGGCAGCATGTCCCTGCACCCAACACCAGGGCAGCAGCATGAGGCTGCACATGGCTGCAGCTCTGAAAGGGAGGTGGTCTCATCCTTCCTCACTGCTGGAGCATGAAAAACCAGGGCTTCTTATTTCTGGGTCTGCTCTGCCCACACCTGTGTGTTGCCTTCACTACCTCTGTGTCACCTTCCGCTGTCTCTCCTGTTGGCTGTTTACAGTCCACTGGGGCAGAGACTTGAGACCTGTGTACAAAACAGGGGTATATCTATGAAAAGTTATAGCTAATTTTGTTTCTGGAACGTAACACATAGAACAGTGTAAGCCTCGTTGCTAGTAGAGTATAGACTTTTCTTAAATCGTACAAAATTAAATAAAACCAGAGCTGCCAGAAGCTCAGCACAAACAGTGGGCTAAGCAGAGGTACATCACTGAGCACGAGGTGCAAGCAGGATGGCGAGCATGAACGTGAGTAGCACTTACCATACGTTTCCTGTTTGAGACCAAAGAGAAGCGATGGGGTTATGAACCCTCCTCCATCACCATCATTCCCTTCCATGGGGCTGGGAGAGACAGGGGGTGCAGTGTGGAGGATCACAGCAGAGCTGCTGGGGAGGGTGCCAGGCCAGGGGGTACCACTGTGCTCTATGGATATTAAGGTGAGTACTGAGCTTTACTGGCTGGTCACTGAGGTGGAAACTGGCCAGGTTTGTGGTGCTGTGAATGACACCAACACTGCCAGGGCTTCACCTCAGTGTGTGTGCTCTGAACACACCTGGAAACGCTCTTTGCCTTTTCACTTCCACCACCTTAAAGCTGAGGCTAAAAAGAAGACAAGATAAACCCTGGCGAGAACAACTCCTCTTTTCATTAACATTTTAAATGGTTATTTTTAATGGTACATTTAACTAACACTAAGTTATCCATGGGAAGAGAATTTGGCCGTTAAAACTGGCATCTGCTTAACAAACAAGCTTTGCATTTGGTGAGGCGTGAGCATAACACCAATAGTACTCCTTGCTAACAGCAGACTCATTAACATTAATTCCTGTTTTTACCACCATGAAGAGATTTTTGTATCTGTAAGAGCAATTATTAGATGTACCCCGTTCTCCCTGCAAAATTTACATAGGAAATTATTAGCAGTGATGCAGACCTACCAGTAAATGAGGACCTGAATTCTTAGCACTTACCATAACTCAAAATTTCCAGAAGAGTAAGAAAAGTGATGAGATGTTCTGGGGACTGTGTTCTTCATCTTTCCTCACTGAGGAACTTGAACTGTGTTCAAGCACTGCTAAATTGCAATTAGAAATTAGTTAAGGGTTATGGTCCTCAAAGGCTACGGGAAAATGTGTCTCCATAAAAATATCTTGCAATTCAGCCAAGACTGGCTTTTTCTATCCAAAGCAGACATTCTCAGAATGGGCAAAGAGCTGGATTTAGAGAGATAAACTGTGATGGATAAAACGTGAGAACTTAAGGTGCAGCCTCACCAGTACCCAGTACAGGGGCACAATCACTGCCCTGGTCCTGCTGGCCACACTATTTCTGACCCAGGCCAGGATGTCATTGGCCTTCCTGGCCACAGGGGAACAAGATGACTCACGTCCAGCCACTGTCAACCAGCACCCCCTGGTCCTTCTCTGCTGAACAGCTTTCTAGCCACTCTTCCCCCAGGCCAGTTCCACTGCACGGGGTTCTTGTGACTCAAGGGCAGGACTCAGCTCTTTGCCTCACTGAATCTCGTACCATTGGTCTCAGCCCATCAATCCAGCCTGACCAGAATCCTTCTGCAGAGCTTTCTACTCTCCAGCAGAGCAACATTGCCACACTCAGTGTCTTTTGCAAACTGACTGAGAGCAAGCTGAGCTTTCATCTGAAAGCTGGAAATTGCATTGATTTCCAGAGAAACACCTTTTTATTGGTCTGCTGTCTGTGTTATGAACCCTGTCCACACATGGCAAGTGTGGTATCTGTAAAAACTTGAGAACACTTTGGAGACTATGAGCTTTACACAGTGCTTTCTGATGCTTAATACTTTCAGAGTATACAGTTTGTAGAACATTCACTGCTTCCTCTTCAAAAGTGTCACCTTCCCAGTTCAGCTTAAAAATGGTGCATTGACCAGGAAACAAGAGGAATGAATGGTTGAAACATTATCACACAGAGGAAGGCTAATTGAAATTCATAATAGAGTTGTCACACATTCCAATAACCGTGATGATAAATCTGATTTTAGGTCTTTTAAAATGCTACAAATGATTACAAAACGCTGACCAGGAAAATGTTACTCTGCCAGTAGGAAAAAAATTTTCCAAAAATTCTCCAAAAATTTTATGGGGCTGGAGGGCAGCAAGGCTTGGTTTGGTAATCACACCTCAGCATTGATCTGCTGCTGCCCCATTTTGGGTGCTGATGTTTTTATCCAGGTCTGTGCCCAGGATTCTAGGATTGCAGTCCCCTGATACCTGAGTTGACAGGATGCAGTACTAGCAGTGGGAGAGTTTTGGAAGTCACTGGTAGAACTGGATGATCCCACCTTTTTCTGCCAGCACAGCACATTAATCTGGGTTTTCCATCTCTTGGAGCCCAGCCTCACAGGCTCTTTCCTTAACTTGAAACACATATTGCAACCCAGTCCTCCCGGATGGAGAAATCCCTCCTGGACCTGAGCCTCTCGAGGATGCAACACAGACAGAGGGTCAGTGAGGATGCACAAGGTAGTTGACACAAGTGCAGGAATCCAACAGAGCTTCAGTGCTTCTCAGTGCACCTGGTCCTCCATTCCTGTAGGAATGTTCATTGTTCACTTGATGTGGCTTCAGTTGGGCACAAGTTGTGGAAAACAGGCACTGAGCAGTCATCCAGAGCACCCACGAGCTGCTGGCAATCTTGAGCTAAGACTATGCATCCTCTTTGAAATGTGGTTTGGGAAGCCTGTTCAAAGGCTGCCTTGCGTGCCTCTGGGTCCACCGCCCATTGTAGAGTGGCCCAAGAACTTCCAGGCATGTAAAACCTCTCCCAGATCATCTCACTGCCTGCTGACTTTATTGGTTTGGGTGATAAAGCCAAGACAAGCCCCTTCCCAGCACCAGTGCTTGTGTCTTGGTTGTCGGTCTAGTGAAGGGAGGGATGAGCTCTCCACATCTTTCCACGGAGAGTGCTTTACCCAGCCTGGAACTCCTCTCAGCACAGAGCCTCGCACGCCTTCAGCACATCCTCCTGCCTTTGACCAAAGCTCTTCCCCGTGGCACAGGGGAGAAGGTGTGCAGAGGTTCACTGGTGAAGGCAGCTGCTGGTGCGAGCCCCTGCTGCAGCCTGGGCTCTCTGGCTGTGGCTGAGGTAGGGCAGGAGCGGTGCTGCCGTTCCCACACACAGCGCACCGCGGGGATGAGCACAGTGCCACGCTCTCCATCCACCTGCTCTTGCTGCTAGCGGGGCAGGGCTCTTCTGCAAGGCTTTTCTGGGGCAGCTGTTGGCACAGCAGAGCTGCTGACAGGCATCATGGCAAGGCTCCCACGCTGCAGGATGGGGCTGCAGCTGCCCTGGCTGCGGTACCCAGCACAAGCCACAGTGTGAGCGCTCTTAGTGGGGCAGATCGTGCACCAGTGCCCTGCCAGGCCTTTCACTGCCAACTGACCGGGCAGTGAGCGGGAGGAGAGGCTGTGCAAGCATGGTCTGGGGCTGCTGTCTGCTTGAGGATGATATAGTGGGGCATCTCCCTAGGGAGATGCACGTCTTGGAGTGCTCCAGGACCCAGAGGGCTGTGGAAAAATGTGAAGATTTGTGCTGCTGGCTGCAGAGATGGATCCGCTTCCTGCGGGCTGAGGAGAGCACTGGCAGCCGGGAGCCGGCTCCTGACTCCAAGCAAACCTGAATCAGCTTGAGGGCAAAGATCTCAAGAAGCTCAGAGAACATTTTCAGT